CTTAGGATTTGCAAAATGATGGTCCTTTATACAACAGTCACTCTGCAGGTGGCTGAAGTGATGAAACTCTGGAAAGAAAAGTACAGGCAGCTGGGAAAGGGCACTTCAAGCCCCAAAACAGCTGCCCAGTGAGACCTACAAAATTTTAAGAAGTTCCCTATCTTAAATAAGACTTTTACCTCCTCCTCTAGGAAGTCTTCCTAGATTGTGTTCAGTTCTGATGCCTCCCTCCTCTATAGCTCCTTGATTGTGCCTTTCCAATGCCTCCGTATCTAGCTTATCTACCACATGAGACAGAAAGAGTTCTTGGAGAGCTCCCCATGCAGCCAGGACTGTGGCCTCCACATGCAGCCAGTGTCCATGGCCTTGGGAGAGCGAGTGTGTGTTGCTGAGTGACAGGGCTCTCACTCCTGGGACCTCTGGAGCAGCACCAAGATTCTCAGGCAGCCATTGAGAAAGTGCTACCTGAAGACCCTGAGCTCTCTAACTAAAGGTGAGAAGGTTCAGGGGGCAGCAGCCCCAGCAGCCCCTGCCCACCTCCCACCTGTGGAAGGAGAGGAGGGAAACAAGAGCCAGGGCCCGGGCAACAGGGAGGCCAGGGCCAGCCTGGGCATGCTGGGGAGCCAAACAGCATCTCTTTCAGCTGGCTGCTCTGCACTCTGCATGTGAAGGAACCTGCCCAGGATACCTTTCCCGCACCCGCCCATCCATGTCTTTCCTCCAGGGCCCACAAAGATGGGAGGTGCAGTACCTGGAGCTTCCAGCAGAGGGCAGGATGTACATAAAATAGAGGCATCCCTCAGGATTTGTCCTCACTGTGATGAACAGCAACTGGTGTCTAGATGGAAATGTGCTTCAGTGATCCTGGCCCCCACTTAGCACAGCTTCACTGGACCTCTGGGCAAGTCCTGCTGCTAATCCACACATCTCAGGCATGAGCCAGTACATAGCCAGCAAACACAAAGAGAAAGCCCTGCTAATACACATTAATAACTGGGGCTGGGGATGTGGTTCAGTGGTGGAGAGCTTGCCTAGCATGTTTAGGGCCCTGGGTTCAATTCCCAGTAACAAAAATAAGTAATAATAATAACAACAACAAATATAGCCATGCACTATGTAACATTTTTGGTGAACAGCAGATAATATATACCGCAGTGGAATCAAAAGATTCCAATGGAGCTAAAAATTTCCTACCTCCTTGTAACTGATAGTGGTCATAGCATAAGGCATTGCTCAGGTGTTCATAATGATGCTGGTGTAAAGAACCTACTGCACTGCACTATTGCAGAACACACCTATTGCATACATATGTTGGTGTCCAGTGCAGAGTGCTTGATGATGGTCATAAACACTATGTTACTAGATTCTTTATCTGCTAACTATGCCTTCCATCATTTTTTTTAGAATGTGCCACTTGCACTTATTAAAAAACACTGGAACAGCATGCCACAGTCTCCTGGCAGCCTCCTCATTCAGCTCATGCTTGCTGTACCTCTTATTGTGCCAAGAGACCACATTGAGTGACAGACCAAGTGACAGAATCTGACTTTGCATGACCACAAAATCAGCTAATGACACTCTTCTCCAGAAGTGTCCCCATCATTGTGTGAGGCACAACTGTAATCAAAATAGCAGTGGATATGTGCATATTGTATTCCGGGTACTAATTTTCTTCCATTATCTCTTTTCGAGTTCGCAGATGTCCTCTCTGGTGAGTTCTCTGACAGTAAATAGGTGTCCAAGCAGGGAGCCCAGACTCCAGAATTGGGCTGGGCTTCAGCTTCCTCCTCTGCCATTTCCTCACTGCATGATCCCAGGGAACGATAGCTAACCCTCTGAGAATTAGCCAAGTTGCCAAACAAGTACTTAGGTGGTGTGAGGGGAGTTCCTGGCATATAGAAAGCTCTCAACAAAGGCCAGCAGGATCCTGTTTTACAAGACCACCATCTTGCACCAGCTAGGAGAAGAATCCGACCTTGAAGTCATGTGTACAACTCTTCAGGCAAAATGCCAGACCCAGAGTCTTGTTGTCTGACAGACTGACCTTGTCTGTTGTCCAAGAATCCAACTTAGCATCTGTCCAGGACAAAAGGGCCCCAGTTTGGTTGATAAATTATACATACTGCAGACACACAAATGGATATAAAACAGCAATTTATGAACATAGATATGTGTCTCATCATTTGCATGCCAAGATATCAAGACACCAAGCATACACTGATCTCTTGCTTCCCAGTGAAGGTGATGTTATGGTCTGGATATGAGGTGTCCCCCAAAAACTCATGTGTGAGACCATACAAGAAGGTTTAGAGGAGAAATGAGTGGGTTATGAGAGTCTTAAGCATATATTTTGTGAGTGGAGTCTCTCTCTGATTCCTGATCATCATATGAACTGCTTCCCTCTACCACACTCTACCACCATGATATTCTTCTACCTCACCTTGAGTCCTGAGGAATAGAGCCAGATCTCTATGGACTGAGACCTGAAACTGATCCCCTAAATAAACTTTTCCTCCCATAACATTGTCCTTAGCTGTTTTTAGTCACAGCAGTGAAGAAGCTGACTAAAACACGTGGGCTACACCCAGCCACGCATTCCTGCAGCAAATGGACATTGGAGGATCCTGGAACTAGGGGACATGAGGACATGGATGAGGAGACAGAAATAGGGCTGCTGCCATGATCCCAGGTAAACAAGCACCAACTGTAACACAGGTTAGGGATGGTGCTGCCATGTGCAACTATCAGTCCAGACCCGGGTGCTCCCAGGGCTGTGAACACATCATTCAGCCCTTGGGGTCCCAGTTTTCTCACCTAGAGAATTGGGGGATGGAGGGAACTGTTGGATCAGAAACTTGAGTGTTGCTTCTCATTTCATGCTAAATGGCTTGATGGATTTCACCTAGAGGGACCAGGCATCCCGTGAACATGGGAGGTGACATTTCAGCCTGGTCACAAAGGATAAGCAGCCTTCTGATAAGTGGACACCCATCATGGAGGAATCATTATTTGCAGAGGCCCACAGGTGGGAAACGCATGGCTTTTTAAGGAAAGGCTAGAATGTAAAGGTAGGGAAAGAGAAGGCATCGTGGGTACCCCAAATGCCACCCTCTAGTGAGGCTCCTCCTTGAAAGATGAGCTGTCCCTTAAGAACTTTCTTCAAGTCAACAGTGCTAACTGGCTCGAAGACAGACGATCTCACAGAAACACACGTTTCTAAAAAGACACCCTTGAGTCTCTCTGCTTCTTACTCTGCTTAACTTTTCTTCATAGCAGTTCACACACTTGACATCGTGTCACATGTCCCTTGGTTAGTTGTATCTTTTTCCAATCCCCACTAGACTGTGAGTTCTATGCCAATTTTGTTGATTCTAATGTCCCGAGTGCCTGAACCATGCCTGCATCACCAAGTAGTTGTTAAATGAGCCACTGTCGGACATCTACAGCAGATGCAGATGCATCCGTAGCGTCTAGACACACAGGCCTCACACTTGAGGGTGAAAAAGAACTTGCCTAGGGAAGGAAAGCAGGGCCACTGTGGGAGAACAGGACTGGGAGTGGGTGGGGGAGAGGAAGGAAAAAGAATGAAGACTACTCTAGCAACTCCAGGCAGCGAGTGTGGAGACTGCAGGGCCTTCAAACCTGGGTGACAAGCCACATCAAAGTTTCAACTTCTTTCTTTGGATTAGAGAAAGGGGAATGAAGGGAAGGGAGGGGGCTGGCAATAGGAAGGACAGTAGAATGAATCAGACATAACCTTTCTATGTTCATATATGATACATGAGCAGTGGAACTCTACATCATTCACAACCAGAAGAATGGGAAGTTGTACTCTATGTCTGTATAATATGTCAGAATACATTCTAGTGTCATGTATAACTAAAAAAGAACGAATTTTTAAAAGAATAACATAAATGAATTTTTTAGAAAAGTTCCAACTTCTGACACAGTCTCAAAATGTCTTTCTGTAGCAGGTGCCATCACCTGTCTCACAGGGCCATTATGTAGACTAGGTGACACAGTGCCTAGGGACCACTGAACCTACTCAGTGTATTTCAACCATATACAGTATCAGGTATCGCCCAATACCTGCCTGGCTAAAACCAGAGAGCAAAGATCCACAGAAGGCCAGGGACTCAGAGGAAAGCAAGAGTTTCAGACCAAAAAAAAAAAAAAAAAAAACTAGGGCGATGCAGAGGCCAACATCCCAGGTTACAGAGTCCACTTGGAAAACCAGCTGGCACTAGGGCTTGGGTAGGGTGTGTCCCCACCAACACCCATGTTGAAATTTGATCCCCAATATGGTAGCAGCTGTGGGAGGTGGGGTCTTTGGAATGTGACTAGACCAAGAGAGCACCACCCTCATGAATGGATCAGTTCTCTCTAGAGCAGGCTGTTGTGAAGCAAGCCTGGCATCTCCCCTCAGTCTCTCTCACCCAAGTGCTCCACCTGCACATGTCACTTCCCCTTTCCACTTGGCTGCCACAGAGATGCAGCGTGAGGCCCTCACCAGAAGCCAAACAGATGCTGGGGCCATTCTCTTGGCCCTCCAGAACCATAAGTCAAAACAAATCTCTGTGTTTTTTTTTTTATAAATTACCCAGACTCAGGCATTCTGTGATAGCAATAGAAAACAGACTTTATTGCAGGAGAAGCATGGAACAGACACAATCCCAGTCAGGGGACAAAGAGAGCTTCTTGGCAGTGACAGCCCAAGACAGCCACTTGAAAAGGGTTTGCACTTGAAAGAGGCTGGCTGCAGACCAGCCTCCTGGGTGTGTGCACTATCTCTGCAGTTAAGCAATGAAAAGCCACCAGGACAGAGGGAACTAGCCTCCCCACATCAGAGTATGGCCCCACTGAAGACAACAGGGGAGAAGATAGGACTGGGATTATGGTGACAGGCAAAGCATTTCCTGAGTTGGAAAGGGGACTCTGGGATGGACAGGGAGGAGGTGAATGGCTTCTGCAGCCTTCCGCACAGAGCCAACACCTGCCCATCATCTGGAAGCCTTTTTGGATGCACAGCTACTGCTCGAGGTTTTGGCAAGGGGATCCTTGAGCTCGCCGCCACAGCTGCCTTTGGTCTTGACCTCCATAGCCACAGGTTTGTAGCTGTAACTGGTCGAGGTGCCAAAGCCCACATTGAAGCCAGCCCCTCCTGCGCCTGCATTGGTGCTGCTGATGACAGCTGTAAGGGCAGAGAGAAGACCCCAGCCCAGTCGGCCCTGTGCCCTGGACTACTCCTTCAGCATGCTCTCTCTTTTTCACTCTCTTTAGTTTGCTAAGAGATTTTCATGGGCTCGGATATATGGCTTCATTTTTCATGTACTCAGCCCCATATAATCAAGCTTTTTCTAGTGGTCTGTGAAAATTTATCAATATCAGAATTTCAGCTCTTAGCAGCCAGGACTCTTCTCAGGAACTTCCCCACAGACAGAACCAAATGATGACAGGCCCTTCACTGAGGGAGACCTTCTGATCGCTGCTGATGCCGAAGGAGGCTGCTGGCAGTATCCCTGCCTCTCCGAATGCAGCACCTCCCCACCTCTCCCCGGGGTTTAAGCATAGAGTGGGTTGTTTCAGCTGCTCTTTTTCATTATTCAGCTTTCAGGTCCCCCTTAACTCCTTTTCCTGAAATCTGGGACTTCTACATTGGCCTGACCTCAATAGGAAAAGAAGGTCGTCATTAAGCATTGTTCTTATAGCCAACAGTTGGATTAGACACTGTTGGGTATCACTGAATTTTTCGGTAGATTGCGCTTCTGTTTTTCATAATATTGTTATTCTCCATCCATCATTTCCCTGTGGTTACTAAAGCCAGTTCCCTGATTTCTGTCTTATATCATGGGATTAAAAGGCCAGATTTCTAGTAAGGTGATGAAGGGTGGTACTGAGATGTGCAGGTACTTACAGATGCTCACGGAATTTGGGTATTCACCAGACATCCTGCAAAGGGAGAATATAACAGGTAAATCTCTCATAAACAATTGCCCCATCTGTGAATTAACCTCTTCTCTCAGAACATGCTCTCCAAGCCCATCCCATCCTCTTCCCATATCCCAGGGGGACCTGTCAAGAGGACTAAAGTGAACTCTGTTGTAGGGAGTCATTCTCCACCAGAGGCATCAGGATTATCTCTTCTGTGAGACAGCTTTGCCTCCAGTCCTCTATAGTTATGCCATTAGTCTTAGACAATTAAGAAAGAGCCCACATCCTTACTGGGCCCTAGGCTTCTCCAAAGTGACCTTGAACTTGAATGACCCTTGGAGGCCATCTTGTCCCTCCTCTCCAAGCCAGGTGAAGGACCATAAGATGTTCTGTTTTTCTAACACTGCTGACATTGATACTCCCTGTCCCATGACCTCTTTGGGACTTTTACAACTCAGTCCTTCTTGCTGTCTAACTTAAGCCTTCCGTACCACGTGGCAAGCCCATGTGCTGTAGAATTTATTCAGTTGGACCTTAACAGAACTAACCTGCTTGCCTTTGGGCTGCCTACTAAAGAAGAGAGAACACTGCCCCAGGCAGAAGGTATCTGCCCCTCACCTGCTCTCCTCGCCCTCCAGCAGCTTGCGGTAGGTGGCGATCTCCACGTCCAGGGCCAGCTTCACGCTCAGGAGCTCCTGGTGATCGCGCATCATTCGGGCCAGCTCCTCCTTGGCCTGCTGCAGGGCTCCCTCCAGCTCATCCAGCTTGGCCCGGGCATCCTTAAGGGCACAGTCACCCCTCTGCTCCGCGTCAGCGATGGCCGTCTCCAGACTGGAGCACTGGTGGCAAGCAGATTTAGCACTTTACGTCAGAGCCCAGTTCTGACATCTTGCTTGGACATCGCCCCCTCCTGTGGCCCTGACTGATAGCAAATGCTTTGAGATCCTCCAGGTTGATCACTAGAGGTGAATCCATCCTTCCCCTGGCTCACCCCAGTTGATGCCTCCGCATCTGAAGATGGAAGTACTGTTTTTAATGTGACAAACTCCTGCTGTTAGGTAAAATCAGGTGACCTGCCAGAGGACACTGCAGATGGGGCTGTGTGCTTGCATGCATGTAAAAGCCTCCGGGGACTTCTTGAGTCTTTTAGTATGGACATGTTCTGGTCACTCAGCTAATGTTTGGTGGGATCTAAGGATCAGGCTTCTTTGTGGAGTGTCCCCTTTCTGTGGAGGCAAGTTTACTTCATGTCCAGAAAAACAACAACTGAACCAGAGGAAAAATGGATTTCTAGAATGCCACCTTCTTCTGTTAGGCAACCCCCAGAATGCCATCTCCCATGGCATTTTGGGTGAGTAGCTCACAGCCTGAGGAGACGCCCAGGACCTATTTGCCTAACCACAGAAAACCATGTCTCATCCTTGGAACTGTGAAGGTCTAGTGATTTGGGGGATGGTAATAAATTCTGTCATTTGAATTCAAACTGTCCTTTGCTCTTTTTTGTTGATCAAGAACCCCAGAATGAACCCAGGGCACATCAAAAGCTTAGGTCTTGTGAATGCAGTGTCGTGAAATCTTGACATTCTTTGATACAAATGCTACATTTGTTACTCTGAGCTTCTTTGAGCAGGGCAGGAAAGACCCTTGACTGAAGGCCCTCAAAAGGAGACTTGATGAGGACCGAGTGTCACAAAGGATACTCACATGTTTACTACAGAGACATCTTTCCTGACCCCCAGAACACAGTGACATTCTGATCTTAAAAAGTCACTTTCTGGTAATAAGTGCACCCAACTGTGAGCACACAACATTTTATCAGCTAGATACCATCATCAAATGCCAAGGGAGCTTCAACATCACAATTTTTTCTTGCATTTACATATATCTTGATTAAGCAAAGAACTTAAATAAGTTCTTACTTAAATCTAAGTTCTTATTTCTTCTTCCCAGCATTATGAGCCTACTACACAGAGGAGTAGTAGTGTGTGTGTGTATATATGTGTGTTCACACATGTGCACATACATGTGCACAGGCACAGGATGAGGGGTGAGGAATGAAGTGAAGGGCAAGGAAATGGGACAACTGGTCTCCACAGAACCACAGGTGAGGTGGCACAAGTGTGGTTGCAATCATGCTATCCCAGAGATGGGGAACTGAGTGCAGTGCCCGCCACATGTAACCACCGTGGGGAAGACCCCCACCAGGGGCTTAGGCTGAGTCTAGGGTGGGAGGCTATTTCTTCCCCATTTTGTTCCAAAATCAACTGCAGATTCTCCTTCCTCCAACAAGAAATAGCCATGTCAAACCTTAAAAAGGCTTCTTTTTACCTACAGCATCAGGCCTAAACCTACTGCCTGACTTAGAAGGTGTCCAGAATCCACCTACCCCTACCTCGTGGTCTCCTCTACTCCAGGCCACCTTGCTGCATTACCTGCCTTCTGCCCCAGGGAAGCAGCCCTCCTCCCTGCACATGCACCATGCACGTGCCTGCCTCCGTCTGTGGCTCCTGCTGGCTCCTTCGGTGGCACACCTCTCAGTCTTCCCTTTGCCTCCCATCCCGGTGCAATCCCAGCTCCTGCAGACAGCTTCCCTCGCGTCCCCACTCATCTCCAGCCCCTCTGGATTCCCATGGCATCTACAGTGCACGCTGCGCTGTGTAGAAGGCGCTGCTATCCCCATGCGCTCGATCCTCCCCTCCCTATGAGTTGTAAATACCTCCGGAGCGGACCACGTCTTACCCTTTATTCATATTCTGTCTTGTCCAGATGGGTGCCCAATCAACCCCATTCACGGACTCATTTCATAGAACCCACCTGCTTCTTCACATTTCCTATTTCCGAGTGGATCCTCTGAACCAGCCGGTTGAGCTCCGAGATCTCTGTCTTGGTGAGCTTGAGGTCGTCCCCATGCTGGCCTGCTGCAACCTGCAGTTCCTGGATCTGAGGTTGGATGGCAAGAGAGAAGGAGCACAGGTCAGATAGAAGTCACTTGCTGAGGGGTGCTCGGCACAGGGACGGTGCCCCCAAGCATTCTCATTATTGAAGCAATATGAGTGCAAGAGAAGGAGTTGGGGGGTAAGTGGGCAGGAAATAATGCTTTTCTTCTGGAGAGGAAGGGCCCTACCCTAATTCAATAGGATTCTTGGGTTCTCAAACATGAGAGCCTTGTAGAGTTTGAATTTTCTGTCCTCATTTTGCTTGAGTTGGAAAGAAGAAGAAAACCTGAGATATGTAGGTTATTCATAGACACGATATCAAAGTTCTATCAGGGTTGTGGCTGTCATGGCCTCAGAGTTCAGTCAAAGGCCAGGGCAGGGGAAGGGCTAAGCCCCATGTGCATTCCTAACACATGCCAAGACTGCGGGTGATCTCCCCGGGCCATGGAGAGGCATTTCCACACACATGCACGTACACATCAAATGCACACACAAGCACATACATACACACACATGCCACGTGTGCACATAAGCATGCACAATGCAGTCCCAGCTGTAGTTACTGGGCTTTGGCGCATCTGGCACCCAGCTCACCTTGCCCTGATACAGGGCCTCGGCCTCAGCCTTGCTCTTCTGGGTGGTCTCCTCATACTGGGCGCGGACCTCATCAATGATGCTGTCCAGGTCCAGCTGCCGGTTATTATCCATGGACAGGACAACAGATGTGTCACTGATATGGGACTGCATCTGAGCAATCTCCTGGAGGACAGTGAGGGGAAGGGAGCCAGTTAGGGGGTCCCTGTGAGGGGACCACTTCTCCTGACCCTCCCTGGGCACATGTCTTGCTATCCTCAATGTGGAGCTCTGCCTCAGTGTCACCGGTTGTCTGGCATGAGAGTGGGTCCTTGAGCTTCAGACCCCCGTGATGGGACCGCTCTCTACCATGCCCTCAGGACTCTCCCACCCCTCTCCACTCTTCCTCAAAATCTAGCAAGGCCCCCCTTGCCCCACAGAATCAAGCCACTCTTCATGTGGCACTTGCAGGCCTCAAGGGAATGACTGCCACCTTTCCCCTCTCCAGGTTTCTGTTTCCTCCCACACCCCTGGAGCTTTGACAGCAGGCTTCTGGATCATCACTTCTTCTGTCCCTTCAGGCAGGAACATCGGGCCCTTCCCAGCACCCACTGAACTCCTTTCTCCAGGCTCTAGGATGGCCCAGGTGGGATTCACCCTGCTTTGCCTCTGCTCTCTCAAAGCTCCTCTGCATATTGGTTTTCGTGCCTGGCCATGAACTCCTGGGGGACAGGGATCATTCCCTCTCCCTCAAAGCCTTGGTCATTGCTTAGCACCCAGTGAGGTCTTGGCAAATGTCAGCTGCACCAAGTTAAAGACTTCTTCCTCCCACCCCTTGGCCACAAATCCTTGGTCAAGGGCAGCATCCCATAACACAGAGGTCAGCAAAGTCCTTACCCCTTCGTAGAGATCCTTGAAGAATTTGATCTCTTCTGTCAAGGAGTCCACCTTGGCCTGGAGCTCTACCTTGTTCATGTAGGCAGCATCCACATCCTGGGGTACATAAGACAGTCAGGCTGCCCTAGATGGACAGCTGCCTTCCCTGCCCTGCCCTCCCTGCCACAAAAAGCCACAGCTCCCTGGTGCTCTCTACCTCCCTGACCTCATGTTTTGGAATGACCCAATTCCTGAAAGCAAAACAACTCAAGTGCAGTACAATAGCCACACTAGAAGTACAGCAGAATGTCTGGATTTAAGCTGGCACATGCTAGGAGCAGCCACATCCCAGGAAGGGACTTGGTGCAAGGAACTAGAGTTAGAATCCCAGTCACCCTTGCCCAAAGAACTGAGTGGCCCAGAGCGTCCCTTCCCTCATCTTGCGAACACCACTGGGCCAGGCGGTCAGGACCCCTCCAGGCATCTTCCAACCGTGCCTGGGCCCTCTCACCTTCTTCAGCATCACAAACTCATTCTCGGCAGCAGTTCGTCTGTTAATCTCCACCTCGTACCTGTTGAGATAATGCAGCTGTGAAAACCCTCACCAAGCAGTCAGTGGTCCCCTCTATGCCACAAGTGGGGTGGAGACCAGGAACTTCTGGTGCACACATGACAGTTCCAAAGGGCATGGGGGCAAGGACAGGCTCAACGTCCATTTCCAGCTCCTCAGCTCATAGGCAGTCTTCCCTAAAATGGTTCACCTGAGAAAGCACCACTGGTGGAGAGTCCCCCAGATCTACCTTCCCACCTTCCTCTCAAAACTGGCCGCTTCTGTGTCACAGCAGAAAGGCACACACCTTCATATGCTGCTATGGCCCAGGGTGCCAACGTCTCCCAGGCACAGAACAAACACTGTATGTTGTATCTGTTTCTTAAACATTTTTTCCTCTTCCAGGTGAAGTGAGGTCTTAGAAACTGTTTGAATGGGACTGGGATGTTCTTCACACAGACATATTATAAATTGGGGAGGGCAGATTATGGATCATTGTATTTAAACAGACCACCTCTTCCATCCCTTGCTATTATCAAAGAATGTACTACAGGACATTTGTTAGAACGAGAACTTGAGCATTGGTAAAAAATAATAAAATAATAATACTAACAATAATAATGATAATATAGAATGTCAGATATACATACAAGGAAGAATTCAGGCTTATAAAGAAAGTCTGCAATATGATATGATATGAATGAACTTTGAGGACATTATGCTAACTGAAATAAGCAGTTACAAAAGGTGAATATATATCATTCCATTTATATGAGGTTCTTAAAGTAACAAATCATAGAGATGGGAAATAGTATGATGGTTGCCAGGGACTAGAAAGAGGAAATGCTTTCTGGAAATTTGGAAGATAAGTGACTTTATCAACTAGGAAAAACACCCTTTTTTGTGAGTCAGATGGTTTTCAATTTTTTAAAAAAAGAAAGAGAAGGGAGGAAGAATAGGAAAGACGGTAGAATGAATTGGACATAACTTCTCTATGTTCATATATGAATATATGACTAGTGTATGTCCACATCATTTACAATCACATTCATAATTAGAATAAGTTCTACTCCATGTATGTATGATATGTCAAAATGCACTCTATTGTCATGGATATGTAAAGAGAAAAAAAATAACTGTGAAGGACTACAAAAAAAAGAAAGAAAAGCCTACATTGTCAGCTGTGGATCATTTAAAATGATTTATAATGATGAGTCATTAATGTGGTTTTAACATGTGATCATTCACCTAAGAATTATATGTTTAACGTGGGGCATTTTGCAGGAAGTTGGGATCAGTGAGCAAAACAAACTCCTTCCTTTAGGAAGCAGAGTAATACAAACAATAAATAAATAAATTATATAGAATACTGGAAAATGATAAGTGCTATGAAAGAAAGAAAAAACAAAAAAACTGGGAACACATCCAGAAAACTGAATAACACTACTCTCACAAAACTCTTTACAATCTATTTGTATGAATAGTTTTCCAGAACTTGCAGAGGAATGAAGATAATATTAGACTAGAATCCTATAATTCTAACAAGAATCAACATCCTCCATGGATAACTAAGCCAATGAAAGAAAATCAGCCCTGTTCAACTCATTAAGAAATCTGTTTCCGCTGGGGAATGATATTGGCCAAATTATATTATATTGTGTGCACGTATGAATAAGTAACAACAAGTCCCACCATTATAATAATTATCATGCAACAATAAAAATACAGAAAAAATCAAAATAAATTTTTAAAATAAAAATTTAAAATCTTCTTTTTGAAAACTATTTTTATGTCTTATACTTATTTAACAAAATTAACAACACATTTTGTTATTTGAATAACTCAACCCAGAATAAATCTTAAGCATTTAAAAACTCATGGTAATTAAGAAATAAACTTTCTAAAATTTCAAGTTACAGGTGTATTTCATGAGCAAGGTCAATAAAAGACATAAAGGTATAAAAATATATTGCATTGTAATCAAATGATATGGGGAAAGTGGCTTGAAATTTTCAGTTCCAATGGGACAAGGGTCAGGTTGAGTTTATAATTTTTAAAGCAAAACTTTTTATTAACTTTTTGATGAAAGACGGTGGGTATTAAACTGCAGTGGCACCTAGATGCAAGTGAATATATTTAAATGATGATGTAGCCAATATAATTCTAAATGGCAATATACATAATATGCTTGAAATGACAGCCTTTACAACTACTTAAATTCATAAGAATTTTTAGGAGTCAAATTTTTAAAATAAATTGTGAGAATGTTTTTAAATGGTGAGTTTTTAAAAATTATTTTAGGGAATCTATGAGAAAAACCTCATGGTATAGAATGATGCTAAAGACACACACTATCTTTTAGAAACTCATAGTTTAATGGGAAGGTAAATGCACTAAAGCTGTTAATTCAAGGATGTTTTATGATTAGGAGCTTCTATGCAATGTCATAACAGGTACAACATAAAAAAGACCCACAGACGGAAGAGATTAGTGATAAAATTAAATTTAAAATAATCATAATAAATGCAAGTAATATTTATTTAACTACCTTTCTTCATGCTAAACATCATGCTAAGCTTTTCAGTAATTCTTTTAATTCCCACAACAGTTCTATGAGGTCAGTTCTATCTCAAGTTTACAAATGATGCTAAAGATATTAAGAGACTTGGCCAAGGTTATACTGGTAGTTTATAGTGAAGTTAGGACTCAAATCTAGGACTTTGACATCAGGGAAACAATGTCTTACACATGTGTTGTACTTTAATTTTTTTTAAGAGCTGTGAAGACATAACTATCAGGCATTATCTTCTCAACAGCTTTTTTTTAGGTATTAAGGCAGGTATCAGCATTTGATTTTGGGTTGGGGGTGCTGGGGATTAAACCCAGGGTTACTCTGCCACTGAACTACATCCCAAGTCCAAGTCCCCCTCTTTTGGGTGGAGGTGAGGGGAGAGAGTCCCACTAACTTACCCAGAACTTGGGACCCTCCTAGGTAAGTGTCTGGGATTACATTTGCACACCACCCCACCAGGCTCATATTTGATTTTTATAAATTTTATTAACTAAATTCACAGTGCATCAGGAGGCTCACCTATGCTGCTCAATGAGTTAATGGCAATTCTGCAACTCCAGACCTTTAACCTCTAAAAGGTATAGTCCCTGGAGGCCTCTGCCAGGGACTTCCAGCCTGCAGCCTCCTCTTTCTTCCATACCTTGCTCAAACACCACTTGGAGTCCAATTTACATCTTAATTCCACTTGAACTCAGTCCACACTGTATTCATTTCTGTTATCTGAAAGTATTCTGCAAGTTTGCCCCTACAATCTATGTGCTCTCTGTGGTCAGGGACTATGTCACCTCCCTTGGGGTCTCTATGCAGGCTCGGGCCAGGGTTCCTTTTCGGAATACAGTTGGACAGGCATTGAATGGGGAGCAAGAGAATGAATTCAGTTCTGATCATCTCCACTCCCTGGAAGTGCAGACGAGGTCACCTGTGCCTAGAAATGCTGACAACTGGAAGCAAACTTCCAAACTGTCAGGTCACAGTGAACCTCTCATTATTGGCTCAACTCAGAGGGAGACACAATATGGGCTTCCAAACACATTTTCACTTATTCTCCTGAAAGGTGAGGTTCAAAGGCACACATGCTTCAACATGAAGTAAGTCTTCATTTTTGCTTAGATTTGAAATTTGTTCTGGGATTGGCAGAGCATCTCACTTTCTGGGAACTACCATGGAAAGTGTCAGTCAGGAGAAACTACAAAGCCCCTTGAGTTGTCCATCTGATTGAGCCCATTCTCTTTCCCCATTCCTCTATTTCCAATGCTAGAAACTGAACACACATTTCCTGTAATTCAGAGCACCTTTCTGGATAGATCCATTGTTTTCCTAAGTCTCATTCTGTTTAAATGACTCCCCCTCCTCTGTGGGAAAGAAAACAGCAATGCTCTCAGCAAAGGAACTAAGAAGGCAAAAAGAAATTGGCTTGAGATGGAAACCTCATCTGTAGTCAGACTCTGCAGTGGGCTCTGCTCTGCCTCCCACTCACCTCTTCTTGTAGTCCTCCACCACATCACGCATGCTCCTCAGCTCCGAGTCTAGCCTCACCCTGTCTCCAGAAAGTGTCTCCAGCTGCTTCCGCAGGGTACTGATGCGGGCTTCATAAATGGACTCCAGGCTTTTTCTGCTGTTGTTCAGGTCCAGCTGCTGCAGCAGGTTCCACTTGGTCTCCAGCACCTGGTTCTGCTGCTCCAGGAACCGCACCTGGAACACAAAAGTGGTCAAGGCCCAGAGGCTGCATGTTGTTGCCTCTTGAGAGGGGAACAGGAAGGCTCATCAGAGGCAGAGTCAACTTAGCAGACATGCTCATCTGGGTCTCTAAGACAAGAAGCAAGATCCAGTTGAAAATAAATCAGGAGGCAGACTTGAGCAACGGTGCCATCTGGCTCTGCCTCGGTGAGTTTTCATGTGACTGAGAGTTTCTCCTGCTATACATGCTGGGAAGCGGGGAGAGGGGAGAACTGAACTGAGAAGCAACTGGAATATCTCACTAGTGGTTTGGATGCTCTTCCTCCCATGGAGACTAAATTGCTCTTGTTTCTTACTGTTCAAAGTGGGTTCTCACATCTTTACAGGGGTTCCTTCAACTTTAGTCCCTCTGCTGCTCACCCACATCCTTCTTGTCACCTATGTCTAAACTTGGGGGACAGGAGAAAACATGCTCAGGAACAACACACTTAGAAAGAGGAAGCAGATGGCCCCTGTCTTCCAAAATAGTAGCTGTGTTTCTTTAACTCATGGCCTTTCCCCTCCGGCCACCTCACTCCTCCTTAGCAGAGCGAGAAAGAGGTCCACCCTCGGCTGTTTATCAACTTGGGCTCATTTCTTATGTCTTAGTTTCCTCATCTGCAAGGCAGAACAATAACAGAATTCTAGGTTGTGCATTGACAAACAAGTCCCTTGGGACAGTACCAGTTGCTGTCCATTATGCTGAGTGATGTCTCCAATGATGTGAGCTATTGTCATTATAATTAACGTTCCTATGTCACACTCATGGTCTAGACCTGCTACCCCAGTAGAGACAAGAGAAGCCCATTCCTGTCTCCTCCCATTCACTGGGGTCACTGCCACTGAACCGTCAGAGTCACCTTCCTTGTTACATTTTGGAGAACAATCCCTCCCCAGACATAGAACCTGACATGCCCTCTTTCCAAATGTCCCCTCAGCCTGATGCTAGTTTTCTCTTTTCTCTCGCCTCCTCTTCAATCCCCTCTTGCCTTTTAATTTCTCTCCATTCACCAAACCCTGTGACATTCCCCAGCCTACATCCCTCTAACTCCCTTGTGCTGAGTGTGTGTTCCCATTTCCTTGAGTGAAACTGGGAGCCATCAAAGGATCCATTCTACAAGTCTCCTGCCTCTGAGCATGCCGTCCTTCCCAGAGTCTTGTCCCATACAAGGAAGGAACAGGCTCCCCTGTATTGGGAGTAAACATCCCAGCTGATCATTAAACTCACTGGGGTAGGATCCTTTACTGTGACATTTTACAAAAAGGAAAGGTAGGCTCAGAAAGGGATTAGTTCACCCTGGTTCACATGCAGCTCATCCTCAGGAGAATGGGTACAGAACTAGGGGGAGGCGGGGAATAGGGGTAATGCAGGGACAGGCACATGTTCCAGTACCCACCTTGTCGATGAAAGAAGCAAACTTGTTGTTCAGCACCTTGATCTGCTCCTTCTCCTGGGCGCGCACCTTCTGGATCTCGGGGTCTAGCTCCACATTGAGGGGGGCCAGGAGGCTCTTGTTGACAATGACCTGGGGGATGCCACCAGGAGGGCACACGGACGGACACGTGGGCCCCAGCCCTGCGCTGCCAAACACTGTGCCCACGAAGCCGCCTGGGCGGCCGCCGCCCACGCCCCCATGGCCCAGGGCATAGCCGCCACCCCGCGCTGCTGCACTGAGCGCCAAGCGCCGGCCGCCCCCCACGCAGAAGAGGCTCTTGCTACCGAAGGTGGCAGCGCTCTTGACTCCGGCCCTAAAGGAGGCAGGACTGCTGCTGAACCGGCCAGAGATGACAGCCGAGCAGCCGCTGAAGCCCAGGCGCTCCCCGCTGGGGTAAAGGGTCAACTGGCGGCTCATGCTGGTGAGGACGGGTCGCTGGGCGGTGCAGGGCAGGGCGGCAGGCCAGGTGCAGACAACAGCTGCTCTCTCTACACAGCTGGCCCCTTAAATAGCCCAGTGAGGCCGGCAGCCTGGAGTCACCCTAATTTGTATGTTGGGAACACTTTTTAGGTGACTTGGGGCCCCCTGGGTTCTTCATTTAGGAAATGAGCATCCTTTCCCCAAGATTTTTGTCTCTTCCCCCTGAACTCTCCATGAATCCCCTATAAAAATGACCAGAACCCTGTATTTTCTTTGCTTACCTCCTGCATTATAATAATTTAGCTACCTTATCTCTACTTGCTGTCCTCCAATTACTGGGGTCATCACTGCCAAGATCTTCAGTGGAAGATTCCAGTGGGTCTGGCCTGTGGGTGTGGTACATGCAACAGATGTCCAGGCTGGTTCCTCATCAGAAGGACATGTGCAGGATCAAGAATATTCCGGAGGGGCTGGAGTTATGGCTCAGTGGTAGAGCACTTACCTAGCATGTTCAATTCTCAGCATCACACATAAATAAATGAATAAAATGAAGGTCCATCAACATCTAAAAATATATTTGAAAAACAAAAGAATAGTCCAGAGAATCATCCTAAACCCATTCCTCCCTCTACCCCCATTCCTGGAGGATGAGAGCTCCTTCTGAGTACCAAGGAGAATATTAAGAGAGAGGAGACAGGCTCTTCTGCAGGGACCTGACTGTGACTGACTTCAAGCCACTAAAAACTGTTCAACTGGCTGGGGGTGATTTTGGGCAAGAGCTAGAAGATTTATCCAGAAAAGCATTTCCAAATTAAGAATAGGGGAGATACTTTCCAGGAAAGAGGAAAGATGGGGAGATGGCAGGGAATACTTTAGGCATTTAGAAAATGCTCTTTCTGGGCTGGGGTTGTAGCTCAGTGCTTGCCTAGCATGTGTGAGGGTTCTATCCCTAGCACCACATAAAACTACATAAATAAAATAAAGATACTTTGTCTATCTACAACTAAAAATATAGAAAGAAAGAAAGATGGATGCTCTTTCCTGAGTTTTTTTGTTTGGTTTAAGAGAAAAAGAAGCTCATTCATCTGATCCCAGAAACCTCTGATCAGGGCATTTCAGATCAGGCATCTCAGAGTCCCCATCAAACTGGGACTGAATAATAGGAAGGGCTGGAAAAGACTCCTCAGATCTGAAATCCAGAACCAGATTCTAGAAGTTCATTCCATACAAACTACAGAGCATCTTTCTCTAGTCTAATCCAACTTCCTTTTCTCTAACTTAAATTGCCTTGGAGTTCTCTCTTCTCTGAGAAACAGTCTCCTGTTCTCAGAGTTGGTCCCCAGTTGGAATTGTGTTTTATTAGTCTCAGTGCTCAGTCTGTCTGAGCCCTGGGCATGAGTTTTGCTTCATCAAAGAGACAAGGCCCATAGATTGACCCTTTCATCCCCCACTGCCCCAGTGCTGAACCAGGGCCTGGGCACCAGGGACATTCAGGATGATTGTGAAACAGACTGCTTGGAACAGAGCTCATTGCTGTACCTTAGTTATGCCCTAGAGCTTCCCTTCGGCCCTCATGGGGTAGCCAGATGATACCTGGGTGTACTGACTGGCATGGCCTCCACTGAGCCAATCACAGCGCATAATAACAGCCAAGCTGTTTGCCCCTTGGAGAACAAAGTGGCAGGGCATCCTTGGAGATGGACATAGATTGACAGATAGAAGAATCTGTGGTGTCCCCAGTGGGGAAGAGGGTGGGCTCTCTGTACTCTCTGTAGTCCCTTCCCTGTGGAGAGGGGAGACCTGTGGGACCAACAGGCCCTTTAATAAAGAAACTCCAGGTTGTGCTTTTCATTATCTCATGGGCTTTTCCTTATACCCCATAACTTTAGCCAGTTTTTTTTACTCATCGTCACAAGAAAGAGTTTAATTCCAGCCATTGAAACAGAAAAGCACGAAAAGGATTTGAACTGGAGAATCCTTACATAGCATTGTCTTGCGAAGGGAATCTTTGAAGTAACTTTTTTTCTGGAAAGTTTCTAAGAAGTTGAGACACCCATCCCTCTGGGACCAGGGCTCTTCTGCCCAACAACAAAGAACAGGTAAAATGAGGTTTTCTTATCTTCCCATTAGTGCTTCATTGGCTAGATGAATCAGGAGCTCCTCAACCCCTGAGATCACCTTTATTACAGATTATAAAGAGACAGAAGTGACACACTCAGGGCAGATCAAAGGTGGCTGAGCCATGGAACCTAGCTCTGATAGCAGCTTACTGTGTCACCTCAGGCCCTGGTAACCACCTCTGTCTTTAGTTCTTGTATTACAGCAACCCCAGGATTGGAGTCTAATCCCAGAACATCACCCTTTGAAACCAGCATGCCATAACAAAGATGGATGAAGCCACTCTAAGCAGAGACTTGTAAATGTGCTGGTTAAACTGGGTCTCTCTTGTCCTGGAACACTCATGTGAGGGAAAGTAATAGATATTGGGGGATGGGAGTGTGAGGGCACATTCTGCTGGATTAAAAAATATTAACCAGGTGTCTCATTACAGAACTTTCTAGAACCATTAATATGCTGACTACTGGAAGATTTTTAGGGCAGTAGAACTACTCTATATGATACTCTAATAGTGGATACTGTCTTTATGCATTTGTCCAAGCCCATGAGCCCCAACATAAACTATGGATTCTAAGTGAGAGAATGTAGGTTCATCAGCTGTAACAAATGAACCACTCTGGTGGAGATGCTGATAATGGGAGAGGCTCTGCTCATGTGAGAGCAGAGCTACATGGGAAATCTCTCCACCTGCCACTCAGTTTTACTATGAACCTGTAACTGCTCTAACATTTTAAATCTATATATACATATACAAATGTATGGATGGATAGTACTAAACTATGTTAACAAGAAAAATAGTACTTAGTGCTTTCTGCTGTACCAAAGGGTTATACAAAACTCAATCTTTTCCACATGTGTTGACTGAGAAGTAGGATTGTGAATAATTTCCTTTTTTAATATTTCTGATTTGTACAACCTGAGCATATAGTGTTTTTTTTTTTTTTTTACAAATGAGCTATTTAAAAACAAAACTAAAGGGTAAGGAGAAAGAAAACTGATTCTTATATATTTATTTTTTAGTTGTAGTTGAGCACATACCTTTATTTCACTTATTTATTTTTATGTGGTGCTGAGGATTGAACCCAGGGTCTCGCACGTGCAAGGCAAACACTCGGCTGCTGAGCCACAACTCCAGCCCCATAAAGTACTCTTTTTATTTAAAAAAAAAAAAAACAAAACAAAACCCAAAAAACTCCTCATTGTTTTCAAAACCTATTTTTATGCCATAGAGCTCTTTTTGGCCAAATATCTTAGTGGAACTAGGTTTTTAAGGAATATACTTTAAGAAACACTGAACAAGGTATCACCATTTCACCACTAAATAGACTTAAATTCCTTGAATCAAAACAGACTTGAACTTTAGGGGTCTTGTTAAGGAAGTCAGTTCCTGAGCCAACATGTTGGGGTGTTGGGCCTACATTTTCTTTTGTTAGGTGCAGGGTCTCTGGTCTAATTGCTAGGTCTTGATCCACTTTGACTTGAGCTTTGTGCAGGGTGAGAGATAGAATTTCATTCTACTGCATATGGATTTCCAATTTTCCCAGCATCGTTTGTTGAACAGGCTATCTTTTCTCCAATGTATGTTTTTGGTGCCTTTGTCCAATATGAGTAGGTTTGTCTCTGTGTCTTCTATTGTGTTCCATTGGTCTTCATGTCTATTTTGGTGCCAATACGATGCTGTTTTTGTTCCTTTAGCTCTGTAGTATAATTTAAGATCTGGTATTGTGATTCCTCCTTCTGTCTCTAATGGGAATTTCATTGGATCTATATAGAACTTTTGGCAGAATGGCCATTTTGACAATATTTATCCTGCCTACTCAAGAATATGGGAAGGAGACCACCTCCACCAACCTGTGTGGGAGCCCAGGCCCAGGGTAGACCCAGGTCCACCCCTCTGTCCTGCAGACCTATACTGGATCCAGGCCTAGGCCTAGGACTACCTCTGCCATCCATGCGGGAGCCCAGGCCCAGGGTAGGCCTGGGTCCGCAAGGTCCACGCCCTCACCCATGCCCACCTGGGAGCCCAGGCCTAACCCACCTCCATCTTGGGACACTGCAGCCATCGCCATAGCCCCCCCCATGCTGTAGCCTCCACCTTTCGACAACAGACAGGGCCTAGAGGCAGCTGCATCTCGGAACAGACATCCCAAAGCCAGTGTAAGTCTCATCATTTCAGCCCCATCTCTGAAAGAGGTTGCATCCATCTTGGGACATCCCCGCTGCTATCTCAAGTTACCTCTGCTAGTGCCACCACCACCTATATATAGTTGCAGTAGCTTCCATCTCGTGATCCGCAGGATCTGGAAGCCCAACACCAAAGTGAGGTACAGATAATCTGCATGGGTACTACAAAATTATAGGGCAGAAACTGTAATACCTCAGATCTGTACTGCAAGAAAGGAAGACACATAGACAACATGAAAAAAAAAAAAAAAGGAAAAAAATGCCCCAAACAAACCAGGATACTACAATAATAGAATCCATGGACAGCGCAAGTGATGAAATCTCAGAGAAGGAGTTCAGAATGTACATATTAAAATGATCTGTGAATTAAAGAATGACCTAAATGAGCAAATACAGGCAACCATTAATCATACCAACAAAGAGATAAGGGAGCAAATACAGGTAGCAAAAGATTACTTCAAGAAAGGGTTAGAGATTTGGGGAAAAAAAATCCAAAATCCTTGAAATGAAGGAAACAATAAACCAAACAAAAAACTCAATAGAAAGCATAACCAACAGACTAGATCATTTGGAAGACAGAACATCAGATAATGAAGACAAAGTATACAATCTGGAAAATAAAGTTGACCACACTGTGAAGATGGGATAGCATCAAAAGACAAAATCTAAGAGTTATTGGGATAGAATAAGGCCCA